ATCCAGGTCTCCTATGTGGGTGGCAAGAATCCAAGTACTTGGACCTTCTGCTGCCACCTCCTTAGGTGCCTAAGCAGGAAGCTGGACTGGAAGTAGAGTAGCTGGGACTCAAACTGGCTGCTTTTATATGGCATTTGGGCATTACAGGTAGCTGCTTGACCTACTGTGCCCCAGCATTGGCCCCAGATGCTCACTATTTTTAGCTGAATGTTCCTGTTGAACCTCCCCTGAGGACAAGGACAGTATCTTGCTTGTTTCTGTGGCTCTTGGACTTCACAGGAACCTAACTAAATATTTATCGGCCCTTGTGTGTTGTGTGTCTTGGCTCTTTCGTGACGGGAATGAGGCCCCTGTGTTTGCTTTGCTCTGTGTCCAGCTTGCTGGGACACTGGTTTGGCTTCCAGGATTCCGCCTTAGGTTGGAAAGGAGAGGGTGATGTTAACGGGAAGCAGTGAAGTTCACCCATTCTGTGAAAGACTCCTGTGTCCTTTGAAATTTTACCCTCTGAGGGGTTTCCAAGAATTCCTGGGCAATGCATATGATGAGAAAGCCATACAGGGATTTAAAAATATCTTGCATCCAAAGCAAACCTTTGGCTCCACTTCCCGTGAGCTTTTGGAGGAGTCCTCACATGCACACGCTTGTTGTCTGACTTGGGTTGGGCGTGAAGGCTCTAAGTTAGGCTATCTGTGTGGGTGACGATGGAGAAGTCCAGATGTCAGTAATTGGGTGAGATTTTCTACTACATGTGAGTGCCAGGCCCAAATCACAGCTCTCTCTGTGTGGTCAGTGTGTCTTACAGATTGTTTTTTAAAAAAAGTTAAAAAATAAAAAAGGGAAGGACCAGCATGCAGAGCTGTAGAATTGAGATTGGATTGGTGGAGCGAGTGGAGCCATTTACTGTGTTATTTCAGCTGCCAGCAGATTTCACCAAGTTCTTTCATCCACCTTGTCTGTTCACACCCATTGCCTTCCTTTAGCTGCACCAGGCGGTGGCAGAGGGGGAGCGCCTTGGCCCTCCAGCCCTGAGACAACATTCTTGGGGGAAATGGCTTTTCCATTTCCCTGGCGTTGGAGAATGGGACCTTCAAACCCTGTTGCTTTGCTAAAGATGAGCTTTGTGAATGCAGTTCAAAATGCCAAGTTTTCTGGGCAAGAACTTGGATCCATGGCATCCCCTGGGACTCTTTCAAGACTGGAAAGGCAATTCCAAGCCAACGTGGGTTAACACTTCCAGCACAGGTTGAGGCCCCCATGAAAATCATGCTGTTCACTGTGATGGGGTCTCGGGAAAGCTGCCAGCAGCACTCCACAAGGACAAGCAGCCCTGCCTCTCTCCAGCCCCTGAACATTTGCTTGAGCCTCAGGGCCTTCAGCTTCCCGGAGCAGGGCACCACACAACAAACATCCCTAAGTATCTGTGGTTCTTGAACCAGTAGCTCAGTTTCATCCAGGGCCACCGTGTGCCTTCGCCTCTGAGCGTTTTTGCCACTTGTACCATGTCAAAACTCCAGAACTCCAAGAAGTATCTGGCACCCAAGGCCACTTGGTCACCTTCCCTCATAATCCGTGTCCCCGAGTGCCTGGGATTGTTCAACCTAAGGCTACTACCTGGCCACCTCTTGCTGTAAGAGTGTAATGTTGGTTTCCAGCATTGCTAGAGTTTCTCTGTGGGACACTGTTGGCATTTAGGGTACACAGGTCTTCTCTGGTGTATTGCAATTATCTAGTCCTGAAGTCAGCCAAGAATGCTCTCTCAGCCTTGGGAGATGGTGGAGGTGGTGCTGGTGATGGTGATGGTGGTGATGGTAGTGGTGGTGTGTTTATGTGTGACAGAGAAGAGAGGACAGAAAATGACTGGGACCTGGTACTACCAGCCGCCACCTGGGACTGCCAGCCTCAACCTGCAGCAAGGCAGGAACCCCAGGGCTCTCAGCTGTGTCCTGGATGGTGGGTAGCTTGCTTCCTCTGAGATGTACCCCAGAATTCAGCATGCTTGGCTGCAGACTTACCTGAGTTCCTCAGTCATCAAATGAATGAACAAGCTCTAAGTACAAGATTCAGGATGGCCTCTGGAGCCAATAAACCTGTGTACCAAGTGGGAGTGTGTGGGGCTGGCATTGTGACATTCTGGGTTAAGTGGCCACTGCACTGTTGGCATCCTATAGGGCACCAACTCGAGTCCTGGATGCTCTACTTCTGATCCAGCTCCCTGCTATCGCACCTGGGAAAACAGTGGAGGGTAGCACAAGTGCTTAGAGTCCTATGCCCATACAGGAGACCCAAAAGAAGCTCCTGGCTCCTGGCCTCAGCGTGGCCCAGCTCCAGCTGTTGTGGCTGTTTTGGGAGTGAATCAGCAGATGGACGATCTTTCTCTGCCTTTTGGTAACTCTGCCTGTCGGATAAATAATAAGTCTTTCTTTTTAAAATGGGAGTGGTGTGTGTGTAGGTGTATGTATTTTTACACATACATCCAACAAGCCCTTCCATGGAAATTGTGATCCAGGGGAGAATAAGAAAACTGATCCAGCCAGTGACCCCTGGTGGCCTGACGACCTCATTCTTTTTCAAAGATTTATTTTAAACAATAAAGAAAAAAAATAAAGATTTGTTTATTTGAAAGCAGAGTTGGAGAGGGGAAGGGATAGATGGATGGAAGGACAGGTGGACGGATGATGGATGGGTCTCTCTTGCATATGCTGGCTCATTCTCCAAATGCCCTCAACAACCAGGGCTGAACCCCCTTGTCTTCCACGTTCCTGGCAGAGGCCCAGGCATTTGGGCCTCTCTCTTCCCCACAAGGGGGCGCAAGGGAGCACAGCACCTCCGCTGCTCTCTGAGGCCCACTGGCAGGGAGCTGTGTTGGAAGTGGAGCAGCCAGGACAGGAATTGGTGCTGATGTGGGATGCTGGGATCTCAGGCAGCTGCACCCATTGTGCCACAACATTGGCCCCTTGGTGCCAGGTTTCTAATCTCTCCATAAAGTTGGGGGGAAGGAGGTGTCGGGGGGGTTCCTGAGGAGACTGACCCAGTAGGAGGCACAGAAGTGCACTGCACCACATGAGGACTGGCAGGAGCCGGACATAAGCGATGGCCTGAGGACAACAGGCCAAAGAACAGAGTCAAACTAAGCAGGCGTTCGCTGTGTCCCCACCCTGCTAAACCTGGATGCGTTCTGGGTGACTCTCCTGTCAGAAGTCAGGCACATTGGTGACATCACTTAGCTTGCCAGGAGTTGAGTAGTGGTGACTTAATTCAATCCTGAGAGGTGCCTGTTGGGGCAGCTGTTTGAAGGAAAGACAGCCAATGCCCCAAGGCGGAGGCAGAAAGGGAAGCGGGGAACGGGGAGGACCCAAGATCACACAGGGCTACAACCCTCCCCCAGGGAACGCTAGCGCAGCTGCTGGGCAGGGGCTCTGAGGGAAGTCCACGGTGGAAGGGAGGGTGATGAAGGCCACTCACTGCTCATCCTGCATTCTCCTGGGGGCGTCTCTTCCTGGCCAGAGAAGTTAGAAATTCCTAGGAAGAGTAATTGAGCAGGGCAGGGGATGGAGCCAGGGGCTGGAATGAATCTCTCAAGCAGCTTTGAAGCATGTGTCAAAAAGTCTGTGATTCCATTTATTGTCCCCCATAGCTGGAAAGATATTTCTATTTGCAAAAACTTCTAGCATAGAAGCTTAACCTGCCAGGACTCTGGTTTTCCCGCTCGGGGTGGGAAGAGGTGGCTAAGGCCAAGGCAGGCTTCTAAAGCAGCGGAGAGCTCTGTCACATCACAGGTTCCCTCGCTTCCCCATCTTATCCCACCTTCAGCTCCAAGTATGCGGCTCATCCGGGGCTTGACAACTTGCTTGTCCAGCGAGGCTCCAGGCTGCACCTGTCTGCCTGGGACCCACAGGGCTTTTCTTGTTGTGCTCCTTTGCGCCCCCTTGTGGGGAAGAGAGAGGCTGCGTTGTGAACCTTTGAAACGAGTAACCCTCCTTCCCGCCCACACACAGGTCAGGTGGGCAAAGTCAAGGGCAGGCGCGGAATTGGGGTATTCTTTGCGATAGCCTAGGCCATGGTAGCCCTCTGCGAGGCCGTCCACCTGCGTCCTTGCTACCCAGTTTCCTCTGGAGAACACATTTTAAAATAAGATTTATTTATTGGAAAGACAATGAGCTACAGAGACAGCACAAGAGGGATCTTCCATCCTCTGGCCCACTCTCCAGGTGGCTGTAATGCTTGGGAGTGGTCCAGGCCAAAGCAAGGAGCCAGAGACTGCAGGTGGATTTCCCACATGGGTGCAGACCCAAGCCAGCCTCTGCTGCTTTGCCAGACACGTTAGCAGGGAGCTGGGTTGGAAGTGAAGTGGCTAGGACTTGAACAGGCACTGTTGTAGGATGCCAGCTTTGGGATATCCTCCATGGCCTTCCCAGCTGTATCAGCAGGGGGTTGGATGGGAAACAGAGCAGCCAGGATGTTCCCAGTGTGATGTCACAGGCAGTAGTCTAACCTGCTGCCCACCACACCAGGCCCTGTATGTAATTACAGTGATGCTGAAGAGGAACCCTGGAGCTTTCTATGGCTTCCAGAACAGAGGACTACAAGTTGGGGAAGACTTGCGGTCTCCCTCTTAAGAAGGTGAAGTTGCTGTCAGGGCATTGTGAGGGAGGCACGTTCAGGCCTTGCTCCCAGCTGCTGATGCTCCTAGCACTGGTCCCTGGGCTGCTTGACCTGCACACTGCAGCCTGTCTCTGTCTCCATCATCCCACCATGTGTCTATTGCCAGATCACCAGCCTCTCTTAGAAGGATGCTGGCCACATTGGACCAGGGCTTGCCCTAACTGAACAGCACCGACCTCTGCCAAGACCCCAAGGTCACTCTGAGTTATTCGGATATCAGCTCCTCTCTCTCTCGGGACACAGTGCAAAGGCCCCTGACAGGTCTGCAGGGACTGGCAGCATGGATGGCCCTAGCCTGGCACTGAATCGCCCCCCTGCCCCATGCTTGTGTCTTCCAGGGTGTTCGGACTTGCATCTCCTGGATATGTTGACCCCGACTGAGAGAAAGCGACAGGGGTACATCCACGAGCTCATTGTCACCGAAGAGAACTATGTGACTGACCTGCAGCTGGTCACAGAGGTACTGCATGGCCACCATGGGTGGTACGGGGTGGACATGGGGAGGTGAGGAGGAGGTGGGTCTGGGTCAGTGTGGCCTGCATCCCCATTCTGAGCCTAGGGACCCCCTCCTGCTCTGCAGGAAGCACCTGGCAGGCCTTTGTTCCCCGGAGAGCAGATGGTGGGACTCTATGTCATGACCAGAGGAGCAGAGATAACTCATGGGAAGGGGGCCCAGGAACCCCGGAGCAGTTGGTAGCACTCCCTGAAGGTCATGGAAAAATGCAATGAAAACATCAATTTTGCTGCAACCATGAAACAACAACAACCAATGTGAAATGCATGCACAGTTTTTCTGTAATGCACATTCATTTCCATGGGCTTCTGGAAGCATCTTCAGATGACTGTTGACCCTTGCAAGTGGTCACGCCATGCCCTGGCCCTCGGTGTTGCTATTGATTTTGGAACAGGGTGGCCAGTTGGTTCAGCTGTCTTTCCCAGAACTCCTCCACATTGTGCAGCACCTGCCACCGGAACGAGGGTTTCCTCCTGTACCCCCATGAGTCCCTGCACAGGAAGGATGCTCCCTGAGTCCGTCCCCAGGGCACCTTTGAAGGAAGGGCCTGGCTCATAGAGTCCAGCAGGAGTGAGAGAGGCAGGGTCGGGCACCCCTGTTGCTCAGCGAGTCATCACATTTGCAGGGCTGACTGAGGCATTGTTCTATGATTTGATCGGTACTGTGAACCTATCAGACCCACCACCCCGATCCATCATGAACTCACTGCATGGGATGCACTCAGCATCCAGAAGAGATGTGGCCAGGCTGGACTGTGTTGGGGGTGAAGGCAAGGGAGTATAGGAAAGATTGCAGACCCCACTGCACTGCCCCAGACAGCACTGGTGCAAATTCAAGATGCCTAACTGTAGTTCAATACACATTGAAGATGTCTAGGACTGGTTGCCTCCTTAGCAATGGCACCCTTGTGCAGTGTAAAGAATGTACAACCTTGGTAGTACTCCAGGTTCAACATTAGCAGCTTAAGGACACATGGGGAAGAGGGCTCCGGGGACCAGCCGCGGCCCTGCCCAGGGCGAGGCAGAATGCAAAGATGGGGAACGTTTACAAGATGCCGGCCTAACAGGCCCAGCCCAGGAGGCTGGGGACAGAACTCTGGAGCCAGTCCTGGAGGTCACCCAGGTTACCGCTGCTTGGTAGAATCCCTGTTCCTGGTCGCATGCTCCAGGCTTGTACAGGTGCTGCAGGAGAGAAGGGTGGGGCTGCCATTCCCAGGCGCATCACTAACCCCCCTGTTCCCCCCCTGGACCATCCTCACTCTGGGGTCGTGGTGTGCACCTGCTGGCGTCGCCCCTCCCCCTGCCCGTGCGGCAGGGGTGGCGAAGATGGATGCCCCAGGATCCTCCCTTGGCCTTGCTCTAACGTGGTGGGTGCGCGCGCACACGTGTTCCAAGCTAACCGTTTTTGCTTTCTGAACTGCTCCATTTTCTGCATCTGTAGATCTTTCAGAAACCCCTGATGGAGTCTGAGCTGCTGACAGAAAAAGAGGTGGCTATGATTTTTGTTAACTGGAAGGAGCTGATTATGTGTAATATCAAACTGCTGAAGTAAGCCTCTCTTCTCTAACGCCTCGCTCACCTCCCCCGCTCACACACTAGTCCCTCATGCGTGTCCTCCCCGCGTGTGTCTCCCCAGCGACCCCCTCCTCCCACGGCCACCCCTTGCACACCTCCTGTCCTCTCCGCCCGCGCCCACACCCTACACCGTCACCCGCAGTGCACCTTCTAGAAACGCTCTCCCCCTATAGCTCCCAAGGGAGAGGAAGTAACCTTCCAAAGTGTCCCTGTTGCCGGCGGGTCCATCCCAGGCATGGGGCTTGCCCTCGGACAGGGGGTCCTGTGAAGGGGGTGTTGGCACCTTGGGCCACCCTCAGCTCCTGCAAGTGCCCAGGCATGGACCAGTCCCAGCACCCGGAGGGTCTGTTTGCGTTTTATTCCCCTACTAGTTTACACTTGGTTTCACTACCCTTCTTTTTTGGCCTCAGCTTCCCCATTTGGAAAAAATATATGAAAGGATTGGATGAGATCACCACAGGAGTTCTTTCTAATTAATTAACAAATATGCATACGTATTAATTTTTATTTGAAAGGCAGATTTACAAAGAGGAGATCTTGCATTCGCTGGTTCACTCCCCAAGTAGCCATAATGATTGACACTGAGTCCATCCAAAGACAGGAGCCAGGAGTTTCTTCGGGGTCTCCCACAGGGGTGCAGGGTCCCAAGGACCAGAGCCATTCTCCACTGCTTTCCGAGGTCATAAACAGGGATCTGGGTCGGAAGTGGAGCAGCCAGGACTCCAACCAGCACCTATGAGATGCCAGTGCTTGAAAGTGGAGGAGTCGAGTCTGTTGAGCCATGGCATTGCCCCGTCCCTTCCAATTCTAACAGTACCGATAATGTCCCTTGGAAAGCTCCCCTCCTCTCCCCTGCCCCAGCACGTCCCGCCATCCATCCAGGCCGGCCTGCTCCTTGCCCCTTGCTGCCTTCCCCTCGCTTCCATCGCTGCCGTCAGTCCCCTCCTGCTCCGGAAGCAGCCCCCATTGGGGCAGGACTTACTTGCCTGCCTCCTCCTCTTAGCCATGACTTTCTGCCCAGCCCTGGAGCTGGGACATGTGCCCCTATCACAGCTGGGGAAAAGGATTCCCGAGAGATTGAGTGACTTGGCCAAGGTCACACGGTGGGTGGGCTGCTCTGTGGACACACACCTAGAGTCTCAGGTCAGGGGAAGTCATGCCCAGTCCTGCCTTCTGTGTGGGTAGAACCTGGAGTGAGGAGTCAGGCACACTGAGGTTCATCCATGCTCCAGCACCTTCTGGCTTGTCTGGGGGCAGTCGTGTGGGCAGGCGACTCTCTGTTTCAGTTCCCGTGAGGTTCCAGTCATGGCCCCATGACTGGTGTGGGGAATCCCATGTGCAATTGACTTGCTCTCCATCACGGTGCAAATACACCCCTGTGGTCCTACCCCTTCCCTCTCCCAAACTCCCTTTCTTTGCCTCTGCTCTGCTGATTGCCTGATAAGCTATTATGGGTGAACTGGTCTTTTAAAAAAAAAACCAAAACATTTATTTATTTTACTTGGAAAGTCAGAGTTACAGAGAGAGGGGAGACACACACACACACACACACACACACACACACACACAGAGTGCTTCAGCTTCCTTCTGGTGGTTCACTTTTCTGATAGTTGCAATGGCCAGGGCTGAGCCAATCTGATGCTGGCAGCCAGGAACTTCTTCTGGGTCTCCATATATGGGTGAAGGACCCAAGAAGTTGGGCCATCCTCCCACTGCTTTCCTAGGCCATTAGCAGGGAGCTGGATCAGAAGTGGAGCAGCTGGGACATGAACCAGCGCCTATATGGAGTACTGGTGCCAGCAGGTAGAGTATTAGCCTGTTATACCACCATTCTGGCCACTGGTTAATGCTTTTCACCTTCAGGATGAAACATACTCTGTAAGGGTTATTTATTTATTTATTTGAAAACTTGTGTTAGAGAGAGATTGAGATCTTTCATCTAATGATTCCCTCCACAAATGGCTGCAAAGGGCAAGGGCTGGGTCGGACTTACAGCCAGAAGTCTGGGACTCCGTCTGGTCTCTCAGGGCTCCAGGGAAACAAGCTCTTGGGCCATCCTCCACTGCTTTCCCAGGTACATCAGCAGGTTGCCAAGTTAGTAGTAGGTCAGCCGCAGTTTCTACCAGCACCCATGGGGGATGCTGGCACTGTAGCTGGTGGCTTAGCTAGCTGTGCCACAATGCCAGCCCCTGGGATACAGAGACTTTAAGGTAGAATTCTGGAATTATCAGAGAGCTGCCTTCCATCTGCCACTTTGGGGCCAGGGGTCAGGATGTGCCCTTTGGATCCAGATAAAGGCAAAGAATTTATCAAACAAACCAATAATAAATGAAAATAAGGGGGTTGAGCACGGCTGCTAATGGTGCCTTCTGTTGGGTTAGAACACATGGGTGGCTCTCTCACCAGGAAGCTAAGAGTTGAGAAATGAACCTTTAATAAACAAGGCAGGGCAGAAAAATCTAGAATGCTTTTTATATCCAGAGGTCAAGCGCAGGCACCTTGGAGTAGCAGCAGGAGTGAGGAGGGGTGCTGGGTGCTGGGAAGTGTTTCGTTTTTGTTCTTAATCAAGATCCTTTTTTGTTTTAGATTTATTTTATAGGTGCCAGTGTTGTGGCATAGCAGGTAGGGCAGAATTACACACACACACACACACACACACACACACACACACACACACACACACACACACACACACAGATAGACAGAGAGAAAGGGGGAATGGAGAGAGACAGAGAGAGAAATCTTTCATCTTTGGTTCACTCTTCAAATGGACACAACAGCTGGGTCTGAACCAGACAGAAGCCAAGGGTTTGGGCAGCTCCGTCTGGGTCCTCTACGTGGCTACAGCGAGCCAGGCACTTTAGGCCAGTTTCCCTGCAGGGAGTTGCATCAGAAGTGGAATGACCAAGATTTGAACCTGTGTCCATATGGCATCCCAGCGATGCAGACAGAGGTCTAAACCGCTGTGCCTACAGACCCCTTAAGAGATTCTCTTGTTCCCTTTAGGGGATGAGTGTTTGAGAGTGGGAAAAGGAGAAATGAAAACACTTCTTCACACATCCCCTGCCCCCAAAAAAGTGTTCCTTAAACATTATGAAGTATTTAAGTGTCCTTTTTCATTAAGAAAAATGGACTTTGTCTTACTGAAGCAGAACATGAACGAAGAGAAGAAAAGAAAAATTTATCTAAGGTGGTCAGCAAACACAGGATGCGGGGACCAGTGCGATGGCTCAACTGACTAGTACTCCATCTCCAAGCCCCAGCATCCCATTTGGGCGCCAGTTCATGTCCCAGCTGCTCCACTTCCCATCCAGCTCCCTGCTTGTGGCCTGGGAAAGCAGAGGAGGACGGCCCAAAGCCTTGGGACCTTGTACTCACGTGGGAGACCCGGAAGAAGATCCTGGCTCCTGGCTTCAGATCTGCCCAGCTCTGGCTGTTGAGGCCATTTGTGAAGTAAACCAGTGGTTGGAAGGTCTCGCTCTCCTTCTCTCTGTAAATCTGCCTTTCCAATAAAAAAATAAATCTTTTTTTTTTTCAAAAGACAGTATGTTAGAATCCACCATCCCCACACTGGGCAGTCACTGGCCCTGGGGTTGGGGAGGGACGGAAGGGGGTTGTTGCCAAGTGCAGAAGCAGGGGTCAGGCAGAGTCCTTAGAGGACAAAGTACAGGCTGAGAGGTGGAGTTGGGCTCCTGTTGGCAGTGCCCATGCAGCCCTCTCTTGGTCAGAAACAGAACATTTAACAATGGCCAGGTAGGCTCTGCTCAGTCGGGGACAGCGACTTGCTCTTGTCTGAAGGGTTTCTGGAGAAAGTCAAGCTGTTGTCTGTGAAGCGACATGCAAACGTGGCCATTTGGACTCTGGCGGGGCACCACTCCCTTCGTCTGTCCTGGAGTTAATTGTAGGAAGAGATGGTTTTGCAAAGAAGCTTCCAGTTAAGGGAGGGCCTGGGCGGTGGGCAGGGCTCAGAGCAGCTTAGGGTGGGAGGTGAGCAGGACCACCATGCCTGTATCGTACCTGCAGACTCCAGACTCAGACCTGGACTCCAGGGAAGGCTCTGTTACCTGTGTGCCTTTGGTCAAGTTCCCCCAATTTCTGTGTGCCTCAGTTTCTCCAAGAGGAGACGGGAATCATAAATACTAGTCAAAGGAACTTTACAAAACCCATGGGAAGATGAATTATTAAGATTTATTGTTTGAAAGTCAGAGTTAGAGGGAAGGAGAGACAGAGATGGATCTTCTATTATCTGTTTTACTCCCTGGTGGTCACAGTGGCCCAGGCTGGCTTGGCCAGTCCAAAACCAAGAGCCAAGAGCTTCTTCTTGGTCTCCCACATGGGTGGCGGTAACCAAAGTACTTGGGCCATTTTTCACTGCCTCTCCCTAGTGCATTAGCAGGGAGCTGCATCAGAAGAAGGGCAGCTGGGACAAGAACTGGCACCCATAGGGAATGCTGGCGTCAGGCAATCCCCCCCCACCCGCCCCATACCACAAGGCCAGTCCCTGAAAAATTGAATTAAAAAATAAGTTTGGGTGTCAAAATTTTGAAATGCATGCAAATTTTTTTCCTAACTCACATTTTTCACAAACTTTTCAACGATTTCTCTGAAATGATGAAGTTGAAGCACCGACACATGCTAGCTCCATGTCCGGCCCTGAGCTTAGACTCCACAAGGCCAGGAGTACTCACCCAGCCACCTGCACTGAGGTGCTCTTTGGCGCGTTCAGAACCCTGTCAGGGGACCACAATGACAGGCAGGGGTATGCTTAGGGTTCTGGTCCCAGGGACACTCAGCCACAAGTCCTCAGAAGTCTGGTTTATGCAGATCCTGGTCCGCAGCACCTGAGCCCCACTTCCTGGTGGGGCACCCCGAGTCGACCAGCACCAGCTCCCACAGCCCTGACACTGGCTTTACTTCCTGAACCACCTCCAGATGCTCCTTCTGCCAGCTTCTCCGTGTCTCCTCCATCAAGGAGGGACGACAAAACTGCTTTCATTCTCTTGCAGAAAAAAAAAAATTATCTACTCATTCCCATTGACAGAAAGTGGGAAAAATGATTATTCAGGGGGCTCACCCCTCATAGCTGTTGCATGCTGGGGGATGTGCCACACTAACCAACTGGGGAGAAGTGGCCTCTGGTTCACCCTGAGCATGGCACACTGCTGCCCCTTCTCATGCCAGTGCCTGCTGGCAGCCAGGTCCGACACTCCAGGAGGGCCTCCCTGCAGCTGGCACTGCTGCTGCCTCAGACCACACACCTCTTGGGCTGTGAAGTTTCTCTCTTTGGCTTGCCCAGTCGAGGACTTTTTTTTTTTTTTTTTCAAATTAAAAAGTGGAGGGTAAAGAAAAGAAAGTGATCCAACGCTTTAAAGCCCAGTACTAGTATTACAGTGCCTCCTTGTGATGGCATAACCTTGCCTGTGGAAATCTCCAGCGTGACAGTTAAGAGCAAGCCAAAGGTGATAGGCTCCAAACCTTACGTTCAAATCATCTACTAGACCATTTGGTTCCATCCATCCATCTGTCTGTCCATTCATCCATCCATCCGTGTGTCGGTGTGTCCATCCACGTGTCAGTCCACCTCTGACTGCTGGCATAGTGAGGTGCACTCACAGCCTCACCTCCAGTGGTCCTGACCTCATAGGTCATCACTAACCCTGCAGTGTAGAGGCTCAGAGCCACAGCCTTCTCCCAGCTGCTGGTGTGCAGGGTCCCGCTGTGGGCGCTGGAGGATGGGTGCGCAATCCCGACCAGGACGGCTTCAAGTCCTTTCCCATTTGGCTGAGTGGCCCTCCTTGATTTCCAGGCTGTGTGCTGTTTGGGTTTACTGGCCCATTAATCATATTAACAGCCTTCTCTCCAACATTCCAAGTCGAGTTGACCTCCAAGGAGCCACAGCAACAATGCAGCCAGTGGTAGCAAAATCCAAGCGCTCATTTAGACTTAGCCATGGAGAGCAGAATGACTGTTGGTTGACCCTCTCAGTCATGCTCTGATGAAACTGGAAATGAGCCACCCCCTTGCCCTGGCCACAACACCTTTCTGTGGTCCAGCTGTGGCCTGGGAAAGGGGCTCAGCGCTCAGGCCACAGAAGCCAGGAACATCCTTCATGGGATGTCCCGTGAAACCAGACTTCAGCACTGGGGTCCTGCGTGCATTAGGAAGGCGAGGATTCTGTCCCCTTCCCTCACAAAAAAACCGTAGCCAACAACAGCCACGGCGCCAGAGCGGTGGCCCGGGCACTGCCTCTGACAGCTAGACTCTGCTCTTTGCTCTGTCCCTTGTCTCCCGAATAGACACCCGTTAGTAGCCCTGGGGTTTGGGTCCTGCACACAGTTTGTTTCTGTTCCCTCCCAGGGGGTGGTGGTGGTGTCTGTTGGTGGGGAAGCGGCCGGAGCTTGGGGCTCACCTCCCACCTGCGTGTGTCCCTGTGCAGGGCGCTGAGGGTCCGCAAGAAGATGTCGGGGGAGAAGATGCCGGTGAAGATGATCGGCGACATCCTGAGCGCGCAGCTGCCACATATGCAGCCCTACATCCGCTTCTGCAGCTGCCAGCTCAACGGGGCCGCCCTCATCCAGCAGAAGACGGACGAGGCCCCGGACTTCAAGGAGTTTGTCAAAGTAAGGAGCACCCGGCCACCCCAGGTGTCCATCTCTCGCAGCCTGTGGGCATGCGAGTGGGCTAGGGAATTCTCTGCAAGCGTCTCCCCTCCCCCACCTCCCAAAGGCCAACAGGCGTGGGATCTTGGCTAGAATGCCAGGGGATGATGGGGTTCACTTGCAGGATGCCCCTGATGAGCAACGGTGGTGGTTGGATTTGGATATACGAGAATCCTTTGCTGACGCAGGCAGGTCTCTTGCTCTGCTTACCCCTGCTATCCTTGATGACCCCTGAGTTCCTGGCCTGTCCCAACACAGAGAATGGTTCTGGCTGATGACCTGGAGCTCACAGCAGTGGCCCGTGCCAGTCAGCCGGAGGTGCCAGGCCCTCTGCCATGGGTGCTGGTGGGTCCTGGACAGCTGAGTGTCTACCAGGAGAGGTGTGAGGATGGGGTGCCCATGGCCCCCTCTTCCTGGGAGCCCCCCAACCCTGAACCTGAAGTGCTGGGACTGACTTTAACCGTGGCCAGGGTGGGGCCCTGCTGACCACACCACATATACACCAGGCAAATAGCCCACAACTCTTCCAGAGAGGGAATACACTAGGAATTGAATTAAATCACTTCCACTGAACAGGCACATTTGGGTGAGGAAGAGGCATAGAAGAAAGCTTGCTTTTGTGTTTCCGTATTTGGGGGGTAGGCCATGGTCACCCCTCCCCCCCAGGACTCATAATAGTGGATGAGATGTTAGCGTGACCTCTTCCAGGTCAGAGCCTGATGGCAGCCTACAGTCCACCACTTCACCCCCAGTTTCTCTTGCCCAGCCAGTGAACAGGGCCCTCCAGTCACTGTCAGATGAGAAAGATTGTGAAGAAGAATTGCAAGTGGAATGGACATGGGTGGGAGGGGTAGGGTGAGCTAACGGGGTGCCAAGGGCCTCTGGGCAGTGGATGAGGTCAGCACTGGATGAACTTAAATTTGCTGGAGATTCCGACACCAGCCCAGGGTGGGGGATTCTTCGGTGCTCTTGTCCCATCCTCTCCCTGCCCCATTGAGGTGGGACATTCACACACCTTTCCCCAGGGAGTGATGGTGTCCACAGCTGGGGCAGGTCCGGGCACTGATGAGTTTTGCAAGTTTGAGGGCTCACGGCTGCGTGCAACCAGACCCGGGCCCTTGGGCACTGAATCGCCAAGCAGCATCCCCATGGCTTGCAGGCTTATGCACCTGCTTTGACACACGATTTTTACCTGCCACTGAGGTGAGCAGGGATTGGCACAGGCCTTGGGTGGAGACAGGCAGGGAGCGGGAGTGGAGATAAGCCACAGTCTGGGTCTCAGCTCCTGTTCTCCCTGCCTGGGGCCTGGGTCTCCCGGAGGCCATGGGCCGGCTCTGCCACACTCTGGGATCCAGCCCTCACAGCCTGCCTAAGCATTCATGTTCTGATTGCATGCGTAGAGTCTTGTGACTCTTTCCTGTCCCCTCTGGGGGGATGTTGAAGCTGGTGAAGGCATGCACATGGACTTCAGGTATTCTCTGTGAAGCTGGCGTCTCCTCTCGCACATAACCACATGTGTCCCGTGGAAGTGACACCCACGGGAGACACTGCAGCTTAACCCTGGGGGACAGGTCACAAGTGCAGGCCTTCCATTTTCCATCTGGATTGGGCCTCAGCCAGTCCAGCCTTTGCCACGCCTGATGCCTCAGCTGTCACCCAGACGAACGAGGAGGTCCTGAATCGTGTTAGTGTTGATGTCATTGGGTTTGGATCTTGCAGATGTCTTATGTTCATTTCTTTTTTTAAAAAAAAAAATCTCTTACTGCAGAGGCTGGCAATGGACCCCAGATGCAAAGGGATGCCTCTTTCTAGCTTTATCCTGAAACCTATGCAGCGGGTGACCAGATATCCTCTGATCATCAAAAATGTAAGTACTTCACAAGCCTGGTCCAGCAAAGGGGCAGTGGAGGGGCAGGGGAGCAGTGTAGGAGGGTTCCTGGCTTAGCTCCTCCCCTCCCTGGTCCCCCACCATGGGAGCCAGCAGGTAGAAGTAGCTCGTAGATGGTGTTGGGTTGGAGGCTGGAGTCAGCTGCCAGCGAACTTGGGAAGGGAAGATGGCTCAGTGTGCCAAGAGTTCACAGCACAGAGGCTTGTGGTGTGAGGCCGCCTGGCTGCTCCCTGGCTAAGTTGGGTCTAGATGACAAGGCCACCGTAGGATTCTCTGTGGGAGATGACAACTGTTTTCCTCTGAGCCTTAAGTGGGGCAATGTGGAGGTGAGAACCAGTGGGAGATTGGCACACACATGCAGCTGGCCTCTGGTCCCGTGACTGTGCCATCCCGGGGCCGATGGCTCCTGCGCAGGAGGGTCAGGACTGGCTCTTTGTCATGGAGGATGGTCCTTAGAAACCCAAGTATGGACACTGCCGTGCTGTCTGGGCCCATCCAGTGAGAGGTAGCAGTTATAAAGTGTATTCACGTGCCCACACCCACACTCACACACCTACATGCCCTTATGCTTTCAAATGTATTTTTGGATCATGTGTGTTTGCAGAATGACACCCATGAATGCACCCTGTTACCTCCTAATTGAGTATGGTACGACGAAATTCATCCCAGCCATTCCTTTTCTTTCTTTTACTTCTTTGTTTTTTAAGATTTATCTTATTTTTATTGGAAAGGCATATTTACAGAGAGGAAAGACAGAGATCTTTCATCTGCTGGTTCACTCCCCAAGTGGACACAATGGCAGGAGTTGAGCTGATCCAAAGCCAGGAGCCAAGAACTTCTTCTGGGTCTCCCACGCTGGTGCATGGTCCCAAGGCTTTGGGTCATCCTTGACTGCTTTCCCAGGCCACAAGCAGGGAGCTGGGTGGGAAGTGGAGCAGCCGGGATACAAACTGGTGCCTGTATGGGATCCTGGCACATGCAATGTGAGGATGTAATCACTGAGCCATTATGCCAGGCCCCACTAGCATTCCTTTTCTGTCTTTGCCACCTCCTGCCCTGGAAGAAGCCTGCCTCTCCGTAGGGTGACATTTGTTCAGACTCTTCAGGTACAGGAGACCCAGAAGAAGCTCCTGGATCCTGGCTTTGGATCAGCTCAGACTAGCCATTGTGGCCATTTGGAGCGTGGGCCAGCAGATGGAAGATCTTTCTCTGTCTCTCTCTCTGTATCTAATCTGCCTTTCCAATGAAATTAAACCTTAAAATATATGCATATATATACATATACATGTATATATACATATAGTATAAATACACACATATATGTACACACACATATTCAATATATATATATAAATGCTCCTTTTCAACACCAGGGTGGAGAAATTCTTAGCACGGCATCAAGGACAGAAACTTGAAGGCTTTAGTGTCATAGCAACTTAAAACGACTCTTTGAGTCTGGGAAACAACTTGATATTTTTAAGGAGACTGGTTAGAAAGCTTAGGGGAGATCTGTACTAGCGAAATACTTTCTAAGATGAAAGGCAGGAGCTAAAATTGTGGTGCTATGGATTAAACATGCATCTCTGATGTCAGCATCCCATGTTGCATCACTCATCTGATCCTGGCTGCTCTGATGTCAATTCAGATCCCCGCTCATCTACCTGGGAAAGCAGCAGAGGATGGCCCGAGGCCTTGGGCCCCTTCCGCCCACATGGAAGATCTAGATGGAATTCTTGATTCCTGGCCCAGCCTGGCTATTGGGGCCACTTGAGAAGTGAACCAGCAGATGGAAAATCTCTATCATTTTGCCTTTCAAATAAATAAAGTAGATGTTTTGTAAAAAAAAAAAAAAAAAAAAGATTTAAATTATGGGTCCAGTGTGGTAGCCTAGTAGCTAAATCCTTCTCTTGACTCCGCCAGAATCACATATGAGCAACAGTTCCTATTCCAGCTGTTCCAGGTCCCTTGTAGCTCCCTGCTTGGGGCCTGGGAAAGCAGCAGAGGATGACCAAGGCCTTGGGACTCTGCACCCGCATGGGAGACCTGGAAGAGGCTCCTGGTTTTGGATCAGCTCAGCTCCAGCCATTTGTGGCCACTTGGGGAGTGAACCAGTGGACAGGAGATCTGTCTCTGTGTCTTTCCTTCTCCCTGTATCTGCCTTTTCACTAAAAAGTCATAAATCTTTACAATTTTTTATTGTTTACGTATTTGAGAGGATTGCATACCCATGTGGGCCTCCCAATTAAGGGGGGCGGGGCAAGGTAATGAAGCAGGTGTATGGGAAAAATGTTCTTTGTTTTTTATTTTATTTTATCTTCCTTTCCTGTGTCCAGATGTGGGGAATGGGAGGGGCCTGCTCCTGGTTGTCAAACTACACCAGCACCTGATTGGGCCGGCATGGGGATGGGGACGGTCCTTTGATGACACCTTCAGGACCCTAATGTGAGGAAGAATGCTCCAAGTATGTTACATGAGTGGTTTTGATAGTTCTGAGCTGTTACACCAGGGTTGACAAAATCTTTCTAAGGCCTCTTGGTTGAGCAAGTCTACCTCAGCGCGTTCACAGGCCAGGAACATGTTGCAAAGCTTGGCCAGGAGAATTGCCCAACCTGTTCTGTTTTCCGTCCTTTAACAGGGCAGTTGGCCTAGAAACACCTTCTGCTGGCCCAGACAAGCTGGCTGTCGTGCCTGCCATATGCACCTGGGCAGCCTGTCCACTGTACAGGTATCAGCAACTGAGGTGACCCAGTCCGGATACATTCACTCCAAGGTTGGTTCACGTATGTTGTGACTTTACCTGTGGCTGAGGTTTGAGTCCACTGGTCTAACTGGGGAGTCTCCTAAGAAACCTCTTCTTGGTGACCTGAAACTTGACTCTTGTATGTGCCAGCTAGTGCAGAGTCAAGTTTGGTCCATCGCCTGCACCAGCCAATGCTCAAACCAGTGGATGCAGTTGCCTGGTGAGTTCTACTGTAGCCCTTGTGTAAATCGAAGGGTGCTGCAGCCTAGGCCAGACCATCGTGCATCCTCTCTGGCTCCCAAGCACACCCATGGGTGCTGCGGCTTAGCTCAGCCTGACCTGCATTCTGCACCTGGCCTACACATATGCCAGTGAGTACTGCTGTTATATCTAGCCTGACCTGCCCTCATCCATGACTTTTATGCTCACCAGTGGGAACTGCAGTTTAGTAGGGAGTCCCCACAGTTGCTGTACCAAGCCTGTTTGCACCCCTGGATTTTTGCTTGCCAGGGGATGTTTCTGTCCATCCTAACATGAGTCATACCTAGTCCAGGCACTTGCTAGCAGGTGCTGTGGCCTGGCCTGGCTGACCAACACCTGGATCCAGCCACTTGCCAACTGATGGGTGCTGTAGCCTTGCCTGGCCTACTCTGAGACTCAGCTCTCGTGCTCATAAGTGGCAGCAGTGGCCTAGCAGGGGAGTTCCCCAAATTCTCCTACCAGATCCGCTCCCAGCCCTGGATCTCACATGTTTCTGTTGGTGCTGCAGTCATGCCTGACATGACCCTCCCCCAGTCTTGGCACTCAAGTGGATACTGTGGCCTAATCTAAACAGCCTGTACCCATTTCAGCTCTGGTTGTCAGGTGCTACAGCCTAGCCCAGCCTGGCCTACCCCCAGACCTGGCTCTCATGTGAACCAGTGGGTGCTGGAGCCCTGCCCAATTTGGAACACCTTTAGACCCAGCCCACACACATGCTGCAGCCTTACCTGGCTTGACCCCAGTGCTGGCTTTTCTGCTTCCCAGCAGGAGCTGCTGCCTAGTAGGGGAGTTCCTCTGGTTCCTCTAGCTCCTCTAGCAGGCCCATTGGAAGATCTCTGTCTCAACTGACTGGGCAATTGTAAGCACTAGTGTGTGTGTGTAAGTTGATACGGATGACAGACAGCTGGACCCTGCACTGGCTGGCGCACACAGGAGTTGGGTCTGGGAACACCTATGGTGAGGTTTCTTTGGGAATCCCTCCCCAACCCTCCCCCTGCTCAACTGGACTACTGGACTACTGGACTCAAAACTCCAACCATGGGGAAAATCACAGGATCTGTGATCTGTCAGAACTGGGTCTCCTTGGTTACTGGTGGAGTGGAGGTGCAGTGGAGGTCATGCCCAGATGCACATGGGAGACATGACAGATCTTTGAGGCCCACAGAGAATGCCTGGTACCATGGATTGCAGGACAAATGGGACACCTCTTCCAAACAAGCTTTGACAGGAAGTATCTTGACAGATGGAGACTCTAGGGTGGACTGTGTCAATCCATGGAGCTTGGAAGCATTTCCTCAGCCTTGGAGCAACAACATCAACAGTATCTTTGCAGTACCAAAATCACTTAACCACTGTCGGTACATGCTCCACATCAGGGACCCTAGGATGCCATGAAGTAGCAGCCCCCAACCCCCAGGTACTGATGTGGCTAGGCTGCCGGGGGCAACCTTCTCCCCTTTTCTCCTCCCTTCCCCCAGACACAGGAAGAAGAAAAATAGAAACGATTGTCTCATCCGCTCTCCCTCATTTCTCAACCCTCCCCTTCCTAATCAGTGATCCATATGGGTATACGTTCTTCTCAACTATGTAACCATCATCAAAAAATAAATACAATAAAAAAGAAAGATCCTTCTATATCTATCACTCTGCCTTTTGAATAAATAGGAGAGATCTTTTTAAAAAAGATAGAAGACAACTTCTTTGTATCAACATGGAAAGGTAGGCAGAGAATGTTATATGAAAAAATGATAAAACACGATGCAGCTTTCGGTGTGATCCTACAGAATGATCCATTTTGTGAAAAAGAGGGGAGCACGCAGCCTGCAGGAAGCGTGCTCAGGTGTGGAAGGAGTGGTCACTGGCCGGCAGCAGCTCTCCATGGGACAGCATAGGAAAGGACACAGGACACGCTCACGTTTACTCCACACCCTATAGGACTGACTCTGACATGTCAGAGCTGTGTTATGTACCCTTAGCAAAAAAAAAATTTTTTAATGCGGTGTAACCAGAAACAATGACTATAATTAAAAGATCAGTCACATGTAAGTTAATTTGCATCAACATTCTAACAGTTACTGGCATAGAAACACATACCTATAGCTATGCACCAAATACTCAAAACATTTCCCATGGGAAGGGGTCTTCAGAAGCATAGGGTCAGGCTAAGGCCTCAAAGGTGGCACTACCTGTCGCCTCTTACTAGGAGGCTTGACCCCTCACTGGGCCCTAAAAAGGAGTGGCCCTTTCCTGGCACCAGAATGGAGTGAGCATGGACCATGTCCCTGCTGCTGCAGGAAGCTCAAAGTTGAAGTTGCTCAAGGAGGCAGCACGGTGGAAGACACTGTGCCTTGGGCTGGGGTCTCCAGGGCAAGGAACCCAGAGGCCCGTCCACAAGGACAACAGGGCAGCCCAACAGGGGTGGCATCCACTTTACTAGGTAGGACACGGGGATTAAGTACTCCTCACCAAGGTATGGAAGACTTCTCTGCACACCCCTCCTAAAACTGTTTTGCACCTCAATTGTTGAAATGTCATTGAAATAGCCACAGGAATTTGTTCAGACCTTGAATCCAATTTTGACATATTGGTTGCTCAATACTGTGTCAATTTATCTCTTAACGTTATATATTGTTGCTGATATTATATTGGGGCTTTTAATTGACTGGGATTTTGTTTTGTTGGCTTTGCCTTTGGACCGGGGAGGGTCTCCCTAAGAAGCCGCTGAACTTGACCGGACAATAATATGCTGGACTCTATGCTTGGTGTATGCTTGCAACGAAGGGATCTCAACTAAACTTCAACTGTGGTTACACAATGGGGGGCAAGGGACCCACCATGGGGGGAGGGTTAGAGGAGGGGTGGGGGGAATCCCAGTGCCTATAGAACTGTGTCACATAATATAATGTAATTAAAATAATAATAATAATTTTAAAAAAGAAAAAAAAAACAAGGGGTGGCATCTTCTCTCTTTCAGATCCTGGAAAACACTCCTGAAAACCACCCTGACCACAGCCACCTGAAGCACGCCTTGGAGAAGGCGGAAGAGCTGTGCTCCCAGGTGAACGAGGGCGTGCGTGAGAAGGAAAACTCGGACCGGCTGGAGTGGATTCAGGCCCACGTGCAGTGTGAAGGCCTGTCGGAGGTAGCCGCCTGGAGTGCTGGGGGCGCTGGGGCTGGAACACAGCCTGTGCCAGGAGAGGAACCATGACTCTCATTTGCCCACTGCTTCCTCTCTCTACAGCTGCCTCTCTTCTGATTTTAAGCCTTCCATTGAGTTCTGTTTTAAAAAGATTTCTTTTTGTTTATTTGAAAGTCAGAGTTACAGAGAGAGAGAGAGACAGAGAGTGAGAGAGAGAGAGAGAGAGAGAGAGAGAGCTCCTCCATCCACTGGTTCACTCCTCAAGTGGCTGCAGTGACCAGAGCTGGGCAAGCCAAATCCAGGAAGCAGGAGCTTCAAGTCTCTCGCGTGGGTGAAGCGGCCTAAGCACCTGGGCTATCCTGCACTGTTCTCCCAGGAGTATTAGCAGGGAGGTGGGCGGAAAGTGGAGCAGCTGGGACTTGAACCGATGCTCATTGTGCATGGCAGCTTAACATGCTGCACCACAGTGCTGGCCCCTATCCATTGAGTTCTTCAAAACCTCACTCACATTGTTTTCCGTTTGCCGGCAGTTCTGTTTATCTTTGGTAATCTTGTGTCATGTTCTCACCTCTCTGGTTTCTTTCTTAACACCGTTCTATTCTCCCGTGTATTCCAGATCTGATGGGCTCAGCTGTGAAAGTTCCGAGCCTTGTTTTATCTGCTGTTTCTGCCAGCTCATGCTAAGCAGGCTGCATTGCTGGGCATGTCCTGTGATTTTTGATCAACATCAAGGAGTGTGGAGCTCTAGGTGTCTCTTGTCCGAAGTTGCAGGCCTGAGAAATTTGGCACTAGGATCAACCCAACTCAAACATGAAGGGGTCTGGTGGTGGTGGGGTTCTACCAGCTGTGTGATTCGTGGTTGTTAACTTGTGTAAGAACTGCCTGGTGTTTGTCACACATTCTCAGGGACAGATTTTCCTTCGCATCAGGGTCAAAAATAGTAGTTTGTATCTAGCTCCTTCTGTACCTGAGTTTTTCATTCATTCTCCCTGGACCTAAGTGTTTGTGCAAATATTCTAGGAGACTCCCTTCTCAGTCCTTTGGACCCGTCTCCTACCTCAGACTCCATGTGGCTGTTCAAGCAGAAGCTGCACATCACTGGCTCCAAGAGGAGGCTCAAAGTGGGCTGGCATTGTGGTGGGGTGGATTTAAACCACAGCCTGTGGTGCTGACATCCTGTAGGATGCTTATTTGAATTCTGGTGACTCCACTTCTGGCCAAGCTCCCTGCTAACACGCTTGGGAGAGTAACAGAAGATGGCCCGCCAAGGGCTTGGGCCCTTGCCAGCAATGTGAAAGACCCAGATGGAGTTCCTGGCTCCTGGCTTCAGCTTGGCCCAGTCTTGGCTGTTACAGACTTTTAGGCAGTGATTCAGGGACAGGACGTATTTCTCCCTGCTCCTTCCCCCAACCTGCCCCACAACAGCTTGACTCCTTAAAAAGGGAGTGGGTGAGGGATCAAGGCTAAAGCTGACTTGAAGCTTGTTCATCTTCCAACGTTCCAATTTCCACTCTGCTTTTGGCTTCTGCACATGTCTTTGTGTTTATATTTTGCCAGCTTACTTGCAATTAAAATCTGGATTTTTTAGATATCTCACTCAGTTTTTAAAAAGCTTTTGTTGGGTGAATCATTCAGAGTATCTAGGGAACCCTAATTCTAGAAACAGAAGTGTTTCCATTGGCTGCTAATTCTGTCGTTTAACCTTTCTTTTAGTCTCATTTGTTTTATTTTCAAGGTGCATACACACACACACCCACATGCACGTGTGTACCCAGGGTTGCCTACAACGCCTCCCTCCTTCATGCTCCCTGTGGTGTCTTCTCTCCTACAAGCTTGAACAGCAGCCACTGACTACGGAGGACACTGCCACCTGCTCCTCCTAGCCCCACCTCCTGACCCCACACCTTTCAGGGTAGGCCGCATTGTAGATGCTCTTTTGATGGGCATCTGGCTTGTTTCCATGTCTTTGCTATTGTAGATTGTGCTGCTATAAATATAGGATTACAGGTCTCTTTTCCACATGCAGACTTCATTTCTCCCAGAAGTGTATCCCACTGGGTCACACAGCAGGTCAATTTTCAGCTCTCTTGGTACTCTCACACTGACTTCCATAGTGGTTGTACTCACCCACAGTGAAGGAGGGTACTTTTCTTCCCTCATCAACACCAGCAGGTGTTGTTAGTGGAGTTCTGAATGTAGGCCAATCTTACTGGAGTTAGGTGGAACCTCAATGTGGTTTTCATTTATATTTTCTTGACCACTGTGAGGGTTAGGTCAGTTTTGATAACAAATAGTGAAGCTAAGTGAGGCACCAGGTGCTTTGGGAACACAGGATGGTCAGGTGGGGAAGACACCAGAGCAGGCGTCAGTTGGTTGTGTGTCAAAGAATGAAGATGTTTCTCTCACCAGGAGTTAGGTCAGGGGTTATGTTGGGTGCAGCCTGTGCAGGGCATCGGTGAAGAATGCCAAGAAAGGGTGGGCTCAGACTGGGCAAGATCAGCCTGAGCAAGGCCTGGGAATCACTCACAGAAACGTTATCTGGCTCCTGGAGCCCAGGCACCTGGCTGGGTCCTGAATCCCACCGGGCAGTAGGCTGAACTTTGGAAAGGGCACTTTCCTGATGTCTGGCCACATCCCTGGGGAGCTCAGCATCCCGAGTTTCTTCTCTTAGGCCATCACAGAGGAAAAGAGGTCTTGTCGTTTGATCTTAATGACTCACAGTCCCTCCATGACATCAGATGACTGCTCTGGCTCAGCTGCTGTGCAGTGGCTCTAGGTGTGTTTGTCTCCCTGGCATTCCCAGCGAGGAGAAGGGGCATGTTGGTTTCTATGTCCTGACTTACCACTGTGGAGTGGGCCTTGTGTGGCCCAGATTGGGACTCACAGCAATGAGTAAATCTCGAACCCAGTGCTGTCCTTGACGTTCTTGTCTTTGGCTGGAGACACATGAAAACGATTCCTAATTCATCTAAGTGTGGTCTTTAGAACATTCAGGGGAGTGGCAGCTTGTTCCTGTCTCCACCCAGCAGGGAGGCACACAAGTGGCCGTTGTCTGGGTGGTTCTCTGACTCTCTGCCCAGCTTCCCAGGAGGTCAAGAGGAGGAGCACGCGCCATCACCCTTTAAGACACAAACAAACCCCTAGGGGACAGGCCCCAGCAGTGACAGCCAAGCGTCACCTTGCCACATGGCGTTTTCCAGAGCCGCGCCTGGAACTTGGACTGCACAGCCCGAAAAGACTCTGTGTGCAGCACTGAGGCGTCCTCCATTTGTGCTTTGGCAGTGGGACCTGTGGGACTGATCACAGTTTTTTTTTTTTTTTAAGATCTGTTTATTTTTATTTGAAAGGCAGAGTTACAGGCCCAAATGTGACGGCTCAGTGGCTAAATCCTCACTAGCATGTGCTGGCAACCCATATAGGTGCTGGTTTATGTCCTGGCTGCTCCACCTCCCATCCAGCTCCTTGATGTATCCTGGAGAAGCAGTAGAGGATGACCCAAAGCCTTGGGACCATGCACCAGCATGGAAGACCCAGAAGAAGTTCTTGGCTCCTGGCTTTGGATCAGCTCAGCTCTAGCCATTGTGTCCACTTGGGGAGTGAACCAGCAGATGAAAGATCTCTTGTCTCTCCTCTCTGTAAATCTGCCATTCCTATAAAAATAAAATTTTTTTAGAAAAGAAAATAAAGGCAGAGTTACAGGGGTGGGGAGCAGGGAGAGAGACAAAGAGAAGAGAGAGAGCGAAAGATAGATTGTTGTCTCACTCCCCAAATGGCCACAACAGCTGGAGCTGGACCAGTCCAAAGCCAGGAACCGGGAACTTCTTTCTGGGTCTCTCATGTGTATGGAGGGGCCCAACGCCTTGGACCATCCTCTGCTTTCCCAATTTCATAAGCAAGGAGCTGGATCAGATGTAGAGCAGCCAGGACATGAACCTGTGCCCATATAGGATGCTGGTACTGCAGGCAACCTACTATGCCACAACCCCTACCCCCCAACCACCATGATCCCCAGTTCTGCCCCATTCTTTGGGGGTGCAGATAGAGATGAACTTAAGAGCCTGACCTTCCTTCAACTTGTGCCTTGTTTGGGTTTTTTTCTTCTCCTTCCTCAGCAATTGGTGTTCAACTCAGTGACCAATTGCCTGGGACCACGAAAGTTTCTACATAGCGGGAAACTCTACAAGGCCAAGAGCAACAAGGAGCTGTATGGTTTCCTGTTCAATGACTTCCTCCTGCTGACACAGATTACCAAGCCCTTGGGGTCTTCCGGCACCGACAAGGTCTTCAGCCCCAAATCCAACCTGCAGTATAAAATGTACAAAACCGTAAGTTCCGTGTGATATTCGGGGGGCCATGGGGTATCAGGTATCCAAAGGTGACCTGTGCCAGCATTTTAGCAGTGTCTAGGGTGTGGCATGGAGGATACAGTCTGGGGAACGAGGCAGGTTTTAAGATAAGTGGTGATTAGCGATTCCAGCATCACCGGTTTGATTCACGGAACACTTACCAGCTGTTGGGATTCAGTCCAGCGTGCAGGTAAGTGACAAAGCAGGGTGACCCAGGTGCCGTACCATCTTCTACACAGTCCTGCATCCACTGCTCCTCGCTAAAGCTTTCAAGGTAGCCTGAACCATCCTTCCATGCCCCTTCTCTTTCTGATCTAAACCACCCATGTGGTGGATTTCCCTGGGGTGCCATTTTGCTCTGCCCACATCTGGATGCCTGAGTTTCTGTATCCCTGTGTCACGGGTGATTGGTTTTTCCTAATTTGTCTATGTGGGTTTTTTTTTTTTCCTCTTGGAAGCATCAGCCAGCTTGGTTTTGGGAAGAAGATCTGTGAATTGTATGCAGACTGTGGCTGATAAGGTGGTATGAGAAACTTGGGAGGGAAGTGCTTGGATGTAACATGGAAGATCATCATTGCTGCTTGGGCTTTATTTAAGGAGACAAGGGACTAGGGACTTTATTTAAGGAGATCTTATGCAGAAGGACTTAGAATACTCTGCAGAGATGAGAGGAGTGTGTACCATTTGTAATTTGCAACATAGAAAAGTCTATAGGAACACAAAACCCTTACTCTGATCTCGTTTCCTGGGCATTGTGCCATCCTGTCTGGTTTATGGAAACACAAGGTCTCACACACACACACACAGAGTTTATGGGAAGCTGTGCCAGCTGTAATGCCTCCATATTCTTTTCTAGCCTATCTTCCTAAATGAGGTCCTAGTAAAACTACCCACAGACCCTTCTGGAGATGAACCCATCTTCCACATTTCCCACATAGACCGGGTCTACACCCTCCGAGCTGAAAGCATAAATGAGAGGTAAGACCTGGCTCCCTCCTCCTCCCCCACCATGGACATGTGGACAGCAGGTCCTAGTGTCCCCCGGGCCATGGCGCCATGCTCCACCCTCTGGAAGGGGTGGAAGGATGTGACAGTTGCACACATGGCATGGGTTTGTTACAATCATCGTAAATATTGCTTGTGATCTTTCTTGCGCACCTTCTTTGAGACGAATGGAGCAAGTCAGGCTCTCCTGCCCCCATCCCGCCCCCCCAGCCAGATGGCAGAAACCCACAGATTTCTTTGGAGATCTGGGGGATCAGCAGGACCACCCGCACCCAGCCCACCTCCCCTGGCTCCCATCCTACAGCCTGCGGCTGTAATTGCATCTTCAAGATGTTATGGAGCCAAATCAAGCAGATCATTTTCTGAAGGGTGAGCTTGAGGTGGAGCCAGGCGTGTTTCAAGGAGTGCCTGTGCCAAACCAAGAAAACTCGCTCCAGTTTGGAGCACATATGGCTCCCAGGAGGCTTAGAGAAGAAGCTGCCGTGCCAAAGCGCTCCGCTCCCAGGAAGGAGAATGGCCAGCGTATTCCCCTTCAGTCCGGCAGTGGGTCCCACTCTGATGTGGCTTTTGTCCTTCCCTCAAGTGACTTCGCAGGCAAAAGCCTTCTGGCCCTCTTGGGCTAGGCAGCTTTCCAGTCAGGAGACCGTGAGGGCTCCAGAACCGTGTTCCTGCCGGCTCTGCCTCCGTGTGGACTCCGCTCATGCCACCAGGCCTGGCTGATTGCTGACAGGGATTATCATCAGCCACCCCTGGGACAAACAGTCCCATTTCTTTTCCCAAGACTTTGTGGTTGCAACTAAACAACTTGAGGGGGAACAAAGAAAACCTGAGCGTGCTGGAAGCCAAATTTGAACCAAGCGAGAGCCTGCTTCCTGTGTTCTATTTGGCAACTCTTCTCTCATTCCTTGTCCAAGGACCGCCTGGGTGCAGAAAATCAAAGCTGCTTCTGAGCTCTACATCGAGACGGAGAAGAAGAAGCGGGAGAAGGCCTATCTGGGTAACGTGCCGGCTCCTGCGCACTTGTTGAGCTCGTGGGCCTGGATCCCCAGAGGGGCTTGGCAGGGGCACGGGGCTGGGCTGCAGGAGAAGGATGCAAAGTTCAAGAGCAAGGAATCAAAACATGAAGGAGAGGAAAGGAGAAGGAGAATGGCTTTGTAGCTTGGGAGGGAGGCCGATAGGGGTGGGAGTTCAGGACAGGTGTCAGCGTTCAGAACGAAGCATTTCTGTGTTGCTGTTTCTCTTGCTTGGCAGTGCGCTCCCAGAGGGCAACTGGCATTGGAAGGCTGATGGTGAACGTGGTGGAAGGCATTGAGCTAAAGCCTTGCCGCTCCCACGGTGAGTACCCAGGGGTTCCCGCCCTGCCCTGCACTCATCAGTGCCCATTGGTTGCCTTCTGTGCCTTCCTCCCACTCCTGACTGACTTAGAAGCGAATGTGCTATTTCAAATCCTAATTCTTCTCTTACTGGGAAGGGGGAGGGGTATGTGTGGGTGAATGATGTGTGTGTGTGTTTAAACCCTTGTTAGAAACCTAGAGCTATTTGTATTGCTTCCCGGCAAGATCGGAGTGGTTGTATTCACAGTGGATGTGGCATACTCCCAGCCTGAAGGGAACACGCATGAGGGGTCTAGTTCCCAAGCCATCATCCAAGTGTGATGCTTCACTGTGTATGTTTCGCCCTGGGGATGATGCCGGGCCCACTTAGGTCAGCGTGGGGATGGAGTGGACTCAGCACATGTCATTCCTGTCCAGTTGAAACTTAGTGTTCCCTCCAGGGAGGAGCAATCCGTACTGCGAGGTGACCATGGGCTCGCAGTGTCACATCACTAAGACCATCCAGGACACCCTGAACCCTAAGTGGAACTCCAACTGCCAGTTCTTCATCAGAGACCTGGAGCAGGAAGTCCTCTGTATCACCGTGTTCGAGAGGGACCAGTTCTCCCCCGATGGTGAGCCAGAGGTGGCACCCTGTCTCCCTGGGGGACATTTTGCTGCTCCAGGAATATGATTTCCACAGCTGCCTGGGGCTGGCCCGAGATGAGGCATTCACTCGCAGCATGGGCTACTCAGTGGGCACAGAGTGTCTTTATGCCATAGTCGAATGCTGGCCAGACAGGTGATTGTGACCAGGGGAGTGTGCTTGGTTCTGTAACCCTGGGCACCAAGCCATGCTAGTTTACAGAACATGTGCAATGGGGGGGCAGGCATCGGGCACGAAGGTTAAGACGCCACTTTGGGCACCTACATCCCATAGGGCAGTGCCTGGTTCCAATCCCAGATCCTCTGCTGCTGATCCGTCTTCCTACAGAAGAGCGCCCCAGGGCTTGGGTCCCTACCATCTGTGCATTAGTCCCAGCTGGAACTTCTGATTCTAGCCCTAGCTGAGGCAGGCATTGTGGGGAGTGAAGTAACGCATGGAAGATCCTCTTTTTCTCTCTCTCTCTCCCCCCATCTCTCTCCCTGGCTGTCTCTATGTCACTCTGATTTTCAAAGAATAAGAGTATGTAAAAAAAAAAAACCCAAAAAACAATATTAAAAAAAACTGGCCAATGCTAGTGGAGATGTAAGAACCTTAGTCCAGGACCACATAATCCATTGGTGCCCCTGGGGAGGTGTGTCTGCTGGAGCAAGGGGTTGCTGGAGAAGGTTTGCTGGTGGTAAAATTCTATTAACCAGTTTTCTGGCTTGGCTTCACAATGGTCTCTGAGCCACTGACTCTGAGAGGCCATCACTTGCTCCCTCAATCTGGGAGAAACTAGAGATCGTGGTTCAAGCTTATGGTTTCAACTGGATTGTAAGTGAAGAAGTAGAAGTGATGAGAGTGAGGACCCAGGGCCACGGGGCCCCTTTCAAGACTTCATCTCTTAGCATTTCCATTGAATTAGCTCACTGTGTGCTATTGGCTTTTTGCCCAAAGACAGTCATAGACCTGGCTAAATACTTACATTTAAAAATTTATCGGAGAGGTAGAGTTACAGAAAGGGAGGAGGGAGAAAGAGTGGAAGAGAGAAAGAGAGAATCTTCCATCTGTTGACTCACTCCCCAAATGACCACAATAGCTGGAACTGGGCCAGAAGAATCCAGGAGCCGGGAGCCCTTTCCAGTTCTCCCACATGAGTACACAGGCCCAAGGACTTGGGTCCTCCTCTGCTGCTTTTCCAGGCACCTAAGCAGGGAATTGGATCTGAAATGGAGCAGCTGGGACTGCATCCTTATGGGATGCAGGCACCACAGGTGGTAGACTATCCCACTGTGCCACACCACTAGCCCCTGGTGTTGATCTTCCATGGAGTTCAGAAAAGGAAGACACATTTCTCCCGAGGAGACGTGCAGGAGGCCCGGCAGGTGCGCGTCTGTGGGAGAAGGTCTCTGTCTGAGCAGGGTGTGTTTGTTCTCCTTGCAGATTTCTTGGGCCGCACAGAGATCCGCGTGGCTGACATCAAGAAAGACCAGGGCTCCAAGGGGCCAGTCACAAAGTGTCTCCTGCTACATGAAGTCCCCACGGGAGAGATCGTGGTCCGCCTGGACCTGCAGCTATTCGATGAACCATAGGGAATGGCTCCCAGCATGCTCGGAGGACGCCATCCACTGCGAGGTGGCGCCTGTGCCATCTGTGGTCCTCCTCTTAGAACCTCTGGCGTTCAGCCAACAGGGCAGCGGGACAGCAGAGACAGGCCCCCCACCACTCCTAGGAATCATTCTTGACAATCTTCCCCAACTCCTGTTCAGTGAACCAGAATTGTGCATCCTTATCCTTCCCTGCAGGTCTGCTCACGGCCTCTAGGGTTTCCAAAAGCCCATAGCACACCTGCCAGGTAACAGAACTTTGTGTCTGACACCCTCCCTGGCCCAGGCTCCAGATGCAGGTTGACGATTGGTAGAAGTTAGATCTCTGCATCTAGGGTCTGTGTTTCATTCTGGAGAACTCATGTGATCCTGATTTCTTACCTCTTCCAGCCCCCAACCTAGGCTCCTCCTCCTCCAAGGCCCAGTCCTCCATGTGTTGAGAAACAATTGTGACAGTCCCATCATTGCTTTGAAATCCCAATGTCCTGCACTCTCCCCACCTCTCCAGGGAGATGCTATGATGGCCAGTCCACTCATGGATGATTTTGGCATGTGGGCTGTGACAGCTGTTTAATCCCCCTCTAGGCTTCAGATCAACTGATGCCAGTGAAAACACAATGTTGTGTGCACCACCAGGGGTCTCCGTTGAGGTCCCAGCACGAATGGGTGATGACTGCAGGAGCTTGTAGTCCCCCAGAGCTGCCCTATGATGGATCCTATTGCCAGCAGGCCACCAGGACAACTGTTTCCCATGATCCCTGAGTTCAGGTGGCCAGACATTGTTGGAAATTTCTCCCCTCTCCCAGGGCTCCATAATGTGTCATGCCAGGAATCATGGCTGGCAGTCAGCTCTTAGCCCTCACCTGGGCTTGTATGCACTTGATTCTGATTGTCGTGGGGAATCTCAGCAGCTGCCGTGGGTGTGTTCTCCCAGCAAGGCAGGTCCTGGGTGTGACAAGATGAAATGACAAGCCGGAGGTGCGGTGGGAAGATGTAAGGGAAGGGAAAAGCCTCGGGAGCACGTGTGTTCCAGGAGTCTGGGGAAGCCACACACACAACAGAAAGATGGGAGTGTGCTTGTTGCCAGGATCGGGGGTATATGGGAATGTACGGGCATGTGCCAAGCTGTTTGGATTCTTTGATTCTTTAGCCTTCAATGCCAGGATAGAGGACAATTAATTCGATAAGAACTTGACTTGCTAATGGAAAAGTGTGGGCCATATTTTGTGCGCATGTGGTGTTCTTGTAATGGCTGTGGCCAGAAGCATTCTTTGCATGTTCTTGGCATGAGAGTCTAGCTTTCCTGTGTGAGGTGGTTTTTTTCTTTGATTGTAGGTCTTTGAACTCAATTAGGGGTGGCAGAGAACCTGTTTTGCTGGGAACGGTGGTGTTTTTAGTTTCCCATAAGAACCTTGTCATATCTCAAGCAGTTTTTTTTTTAAAAAGCGTGTGTTGGAACAGGACAACCAAGTTTACATTTCATACTTTGAAGAAACGCTTTATTATTTATTTATTGAAAATAGTGTACAATTTTGTATCCAGGACAACAGATACCTAAGTATTTTTTTTTAAATAAGCAGATTATCTCCTTTAGTTAGAACTTTGAATGGAATATGTTATAGACCAAGTTTAACTGTAGGCATGATTTGTTTACCACTTCCCAGCAGAAAACATGGCTAAACTACTTTTACGTTTGTATTTTCTGAGGTTGTTATGAAACTTCTAATGAAGCCTTTAAATAGACATGTGCAACTCAAACGCTCCTCTTTCTATAGCCGATAGTTTGTGCAGTGTAGCTACGAAAGACATCACACTGTAGTAGAAAAAAAGTATTCAGTGTATAAACGAGGTCATGTTGAGCCACCATCCCCATCCCTTTCTTCCCGTTCTCTTGTTGTTGACTTTATTTTCGTGTTAATGTTGGACATCACTGTGCAAGTAGGCAGGATGTGGTGTGCACAACAACAGACATAATACTTTTAGGTCACAGGTCCTACCCTCCAGAGTCCCATTTTACAATTAATGTAGCATGAAGAAGCAATATATGAATTCCACCCCCCACCCCACTGAAATGGTTTTATTGAGTGTCCTTGAGACGCTCCTGTAGGATGGCAAGTTCTGGATTCGCATCATTGTATTTGCTGGTGCAGTTTGTAATGTGACTGATCATACTTATGGATGAATGGACTGACTCAGATCTGGCTGGTATTCATGTCAGGAGATACAGGAGCGTGGGTGATGCATATAATCTTAAACCCAATGGTCCCTATCCTTCAGTGCTACCATTTTGACCATTTGGTCTACCTTTCGGGGAGATGGAATGCCCTTTATCAATAACAAATATGTCTTCTGGCTCCTTTCCCCCACTAAGTACAGGGTTTCTTTAGGTCATGCTTCCAAACAGTGTCCCTCTGTTCTGAGCCACACTGAGAACTTCTTCTGTACCTAGTGGGCCATGAAGAGGCATTCCTGGTCACCTGCCGTGCTCTGACCTCAGGCATCCCAAGCACTCCTGGTACACCTCATTGACTAGCTTTTCTGAAGGGAAAGTCCACTTCTGGGTCCTCTGGGGACAGAGGTTTACATCTTCTAGGGAGAGAGGTAGCAGCCTCTCCTGCAGTCAGGTCTTTTGACCACAGGAACCTGAGGATGTGGTACTGCAGGCACAGGCTTCACCCACGATGGGCAGAGAAACCCTCCAGGCATGAGTCCCCAGCAGTGCTGAAGAGACCCTGGCCAGGCTTCCCAGGTGATCACTTGATATTGAGCCCCTGGCATCTGATAGCAGAGGACAAATCCCAGCTCCCGAAGGACATTAATGGAAGAGGAGCCATGGCTTTTCTCCCCTCCTTGTTTTTTTGAATACAACTTAAAGCAGGATTGATTTGTGTATATGAAAAGAACTGATTTCACCTGCATTTAACTGGGCTGGGATCCTGATAGAAAACAGGTGAATTTGACCACTTGCAATACCTCAGGTGGCCTCCATGAGTGTGTCCCGGGCAGGAGATCGGGGAAGGTGGTACTAAAGCTTGCCTGCCAAGGCTGGATAGGGGCTGGCTGGGGTGACCCTGGAAGACCCTGGCCATCCAGAGCAAGGATGGGCCAGGATTCGATGGGATGATGGATCCAGAGAGTAATGTGCAAGGCACTGCCAGTTGGCTTCCCAAGGTGGAGCCCTTAGCGTGGACCGTAGAGGAGAAGGCATGAACAAACGAACAAAGGAGAGCTCTGGCTCTTCCCATGTTTCCTCACTGTTTGGGCCTTCTTGATTCATTTGCACTTGGTTAGTGGGTTTGTTTGATTCTTTTATTTTCCATTTCTTTTGGGCTTAGAGACTTGCTTTGCCCAGCACTGTCACAGGGGCAGCTGGCACACCCATGGTATACACAGTGGGATCTGTAAGGCTTGCTTTGCCTTCAGGGGGTTAGGTCTTGAGCTCATCCCCGCAGAGGGGTAGAGAAAGCTGGCCCTCGACACCCTCAGACTGTGGTTGTGGCCCCTCTCAGAAGGCTCTGGGTGAGCCTATTCATCCTTCTCTTTGCACCCCCGGAGGCTGGAATGCCTACAAGGGATTCTTTGGTTTGTTTTTCCAAAAATAATCCAGCCTAGTTACTAAGACTCACCTGGCAGCGCCCCGGGTCATATCTTCCAGTTAGCATTCCATCAATATTGTTGCCATGTTCTTTCTCCTTTTTTTCTGTAGTAATCCAGTAAGGCAGAAGCCTGGTCCTTGTATTTCTCTGTGTGTCTGATCTGTCTGCTCAAAGGACCTGTTAAAGAGGGACCCTTCAGGCTGGGCTGGTGTGAGTGGGGTTTGGTTGGCCAGTCCCACAGGGGGACAGACCGGAGCAGACAGGCCAGTGTAGTGGGCAGGAAGGGAAAAGGCCCAGGACCCAGCATGGGCTCCTGCCCTGGGTGCAGCCTCCTCCCCTACCTCCCGCAGGTCAGCACACAGTGAGGATGAGCTGGAAAAAACTGAAAACATTTCTTTTAAGTATGCTGGATTTGCCTTGCCTTGCCTGCCTGCCTGGCGTCCCGACAGCAAGGGGGGAGTCTGCAATTAGCTGTAAGGCCAGCTGTGATCACAAAGGGGTGGTGTGAAGCAGCCAAAAGCAGAAAGCACATCTGAGGCTCCAAGGGAACAGACTAGGCCACCCAGGTCCTCCTTGCAGCCCTCCCACCAACTTGCTCTTAACAGGTGTAAGAGAATGCAGGTGAGAGCACCTGGGAAGCCCGTGGCTGGCCTTCCTCCCTTTGGGGTCTAAGCTGAATGGTTCTGCTGGGTCAATGCTGTCTTGGAAGAGGCTGTTCAGAGAAATCCTGTGGCTAGGTATGATGGGCTGGAGAAAGTAGCTGGCAGATCTGCCCCCTCCTTGCTTGCTTGCTCAGAGTAAGGTCCCTGCCCCTTTGTGCTTGGAGAACAATGGTTTACTTGAGTTGGAGGAAAGGAAAAGTTTTAGAACATGTGTTCCTTCACCTTGTGTTGTCTTCGATCCTGGATATATGTTGGTGGGTCATCAGGCTCTGCAGAGCCATCTGTAGCGACCAGGAAATAATCTACCCTTGATGAGGATGGAAAGCGTCCTGCCCTGAAGGACGGGACATTCTCCAGTAAGCAGTGATTAGGAGTGTCTGAACCCTGAGGCTAACACACTCTCTGAGGCTTGGGATCCCTCAGTGGTGTTGCCAATTAGCCCGAGAGTCCCCAGCTTTGCCCAGACATTAATGGATGGCAGGAGGGGCCTGCCTTTGTTTTGCAGGTCCACTCGTAGGTGTCACTTTAAGGCATTTAAATAATGCCAAGTGCTTACAGCAATTTGGACCTATCTGTCAGTGACTCATTCAGTTCTGTGTCTTCCCCTGGAAGGTACCCCCTATCCTCCGGCCTGGACTACTAGGGGGAACAGATGCCACCCACAGTTTAATTTTGGAAACTGTGTGTGGTTGCTGTATTTCAGGGTGAATTAGCTCCGAGTGGATGT